TCCTTCCTCTCTTCCCGGTACCAACCATATTTATATGGTCGGTACTCCACTATGCAAATTAGGTGGATCCTACCAATATATATATATATATATATATATATATATATATATATATATATATATATATATATAGCTGAGTTCGAATTCCAGACGAATCCATTACATTCACTTACGTGATAATAGCCTTGGGAAAGATGTGAATCCTTTTCTTCTCCCTCCATCTATGGGTAAATAGCAGGACAGACTGGGTTCTATAGCCTTGGATAGCAACTGATCTAGGAGAAGGACAACTCTGAATTACAAACCTTCGAGGGGTCGTTTGGGGACCTTGTGGCACGTAGTGCACCAGGTCTCTGTATTCGGCCATTCAAAAAATGTGGATGGTCCTGCACGTAAACTTCACCACTATAATCAAATCTCATGTGCTGGCGTCGGGCTCTCAGTTTCCTGGGAACTGATCTGCTTGATCCTCATACATCGAATTCAACGGGAGAGTCGAGTATATATATATATATATATATATATATATAGATAGATAGATAGATAGATAGATAGATAGATGAGAACATATATAGAGATAGATAGATAAAGAGATAAAAGACATACTGATATAGATAGATAAGGACATAGTGATTTAGAGAGATAGACAGATAGATAGATAGATAGATAGATAGATATCCGAATGTAATGAGAAAGAAAATAATATATAGACTCTAATGTTCACAGCCAAAAGAGGGCTCAATACCGAGAGTATAGCAATAATTAACAATTAACTCTCTACAAAGATGTAACTTTGTTGGTGAATGATTGTTGAGGTAATTCAAACCATCATTTTAACATCTTCAATAATCCTTCAACAAATTGCTATCAACAAGTAATATTGTCTCAATCTGTCATCCTTTTTGCCTCATTTATCTTTTCTTTACCCTTATCCTTCCCCTCTTAAAATGTTTCCCTTTTTTTTTTCAAACAAATAGAAAAAAAAGAAGTGATGTTCCACAAGTGGCTTGCTTACAAACAGATTTGTTCTCACCAGTCGAAGTGCAACTAAAAGCACCGAAACAAGGTAGCAGCTTTGTAGTGAGTAAATTGTTTTTGTCTATATGAAAAAATTATAATAAATAATATATAAATAGTATTAAATATATTGCGTATTAAAGAAAGACTTTATACTGCTTATAATTTTTAAAAACAAGGATCATAACATTGATCAAGTGATTTGAAGTTTAATGCACCTTTAAAATTTGGTTTGCGAAAGGATTTCGTTTTTTTTATATCATTAACTTTACTAATCTACTTTTTGTATGAATGATTCATTGTAATATAAATTGAACTGCACCACATATTTGATTTAAAAGAACTGATCGGCCGTGCAAATTTTCGGGATAACAACTGAGACATTACTCTATTTATTGAACAATTTAGTTCATGCCACATTGACTGATGAACTCCTACAACCAAAAAACTTCTCAGATTGCCATATTAGCAAAAAAAAAAAAAAAAAATACAAAAAAGATGCACACTCTTAAATTTTCGAAAAAAAAAACTCAAGCTTAAGCGTTGCGACTGCACAATCCAAAAGTTTGTACCCGTTGACAATAACACATTTCAAAATAAACATATTTCGATTCACATTTAACTTTTTCGTTTCGGATGCTACGTAAATTTTACCAAAAACAAAATAATTACCATGCCTGAAGATGACTGAATGTACAGTCGAAAGTACTCGCGTTTTTAAGAACGACAGCTTATAACTTTTAAAAACAAGGATCATAACATTCATCGAGTGATTTGTAGGTTAATGCATCTTTAAAATTTTGTTAGCAAAAGGATTTCACCATTTTATATCATTAACTTTACTAATCTACTTTTTGTATGAATGATTCATTGTAATATAAATTGAACTGCACCACATATCTGATTAAAAGAACTGATCCGACGTGCAAATTTTCGGGTTACCAACTGAGAGATTACTCTATTTATTGAACAATTTAGTTCATCCCACATTGACTGATAAACTTCTACAACAAAAAATTCTCAGATTGCCATATTAGTAATAAAAAAAAAAAATGCACACTCTTAAATTTTCGAAAAAAAAATCAAGCTTAGCGTTGCGATTGCAGGCTCCAAAAGTTTGTATACGTTAACAATAACACATTTCAAAATAATCATATTTAGATTAGCATTTAATTTTTTCTTCTCGGATGCTAACTGAATTTTACCAACAAAAAAAATAATTTCCGTACCTGAGGATGACTGAATGCACAGTTGAAGTAGTTGCGTATTAAAGAAAGACCTTATACAGTTTTTACTTTTTAAAAACAAGGATCATAACATTCATTGATTGATTTGTAGATTAATGCAACTTTAAAATTTTGTTAGCGAAGGTATTTCGTCATTTTATATCATTAACTTTACTAATCTACTTTTTGTATGAATGATTCATTGTCATAGATAGTTATAGGTACTAATCCGTTGGCATATAATCCAAGTGAATCCTAATAATATAAATTATTAAAACAGACCCACCTTGAGATCTCAATGTATTTATTATAAGAGAGTATATAAATGAATACCTAGAATAAAATTTCAAAATTACCAATAAGGTGATAAAGGGGACAAAGACTTGTGGTGAAAAAGCGGTGGGAGGCAGTGCATGGATTCCAACTAACGATGTAACATCATCCAGTTGTTGCGGGCCCACCGTGTGGGGAGGTACTGAGCTTAATGGGCCAAAACTTTAATGAAGCATGGCGCTCAGCTGAAGATTGTAGCTGGTCGGGTATACTTGAAGTGTACATGTGTTTATATATATATATATGCATCTCTATCTATAAAAGGCAGGATGTTTGTGTGTGTGTGTGTGTGTGTGTGTGTGTGTGTGTGTGTGTGTGTGTGTGTGTAACGAATGCACGGCAGCAATTTCGACGGATTTGCACCAAAATTTGCATGCACGCTCCAAGTTAGCGGGAAGGCCAAGATCGACTTTTGCATTTCCCGACTCCCATCGATAGTGGAAATAATCGATTTTTTCATGCTCCTACGGCAGTTTTCATGTAGTTTGCGGCTATTTTGTACTGGTCAGAGTGAGAGCCAATAGCTGGCTGCCACGAATAGGAAGGAATGCTATATGTGCTTGTGGTACTTACTGAACGAGGTCTCTGTATTCGGCCCTTCAAAAAGTGTGGCTGGTCTTGCACGAAACCTTCACCACTATAATCAAATCTCACGTGCTGTTCTCGAGCTGTCGGTTTCCTTGGAGCTGATCTGCTTGACCCTCATACGTCGAAATCGACAGGAGAGTCGAATAATATATATATACAATGTACACTTTTTATATATATATATATATATATATATATATATATATATATATATATATATATATTAACTTTATCTAAAAAGAATCGACGAGGATAATCTGTTTAATTTTTTTTTTTTCCACTTTTCCAATAAGTTGTTATTTATTGGGGTGACAATTGAGGATAAATTGTACATGTTTTGTTGTGTTTCCTTCAAGTACATTCGACAGTTTGAATCATTTTGAAGAACCAATAACGTATTTGTGCGGTAAAGAGAATTTCTTGCGTATGGGATATTGAAATCCAAAGCTATATTGGAATAGTGAAAGTTGTCTTCCTAAAAATAAAGAAACTATTAAGAAAAAAGGAAACTTTCTTCTGAAACAAAGAGAAAGAGATTCAACTGCTATGTAGCATCAGTTCTCCTATATGGCAGTGAGTTCTGAACATTTTCCTTACAGATAAAGAAAAGACTTGAAGCAACAGAGATAGCGTACAGCAGAGAATACCATGGACTAAACATGTGAGTAACGAGTAAGTTTTAAGAGCATTGAAAGCAAAAGAAAACTTATACATAGAATCAGGAAGAGACGCTTTGAGGAAAGACAGCTTAGAGAATTTGACATTCACAAGGCATATTAAAGGTATAGAGAGACAGGGGAGACCCTTGAATAACATAATTAACGATCTTGTGTAAATGAAAGGCAGGGCAAGGAGTGAGAAGGAGAGTAAGTGAGCAAACATTGCGTAGAAAAAAAAAAACAACTTCAAATGATGCAGCACGTGAACGAAGAATAATTAACGCACTTCCTAATGAAGCTATGGCCGACCGAGATCACTGGGTTCGAATCACACCATTGTCAATTTGATAGAGAGGTGACTTCTGAATTTTTCAAATATTTATTATCCTCTCTACTTAATAATGATTTATTTTTTTGTGTTTGCCATTCTCTCAGACTCCGTAACCCATTCTGTGTTACAGCCTATATTGACGTTTCGGGGATTAAATTATTAAAAACATAGGAAGAGTACGGGATAGATAGATAGATAGATAGATAGATAGATAGATAGATAGATAGATAGATGAGAAAATAGAGATAGATAGATAAAAGACATACTCATATAGATAGATAAGAAAATAGTGAGTTAGAGAGATAGACAGATAGGTAGATAAGAACATAGATAGATAGATAGATAGATAGATAGATAGATAGATAAAAACATACTAATATAGATAGATAGACATGAACATAGATACATAGATATTGATATAGATAGATAGATGAGGGATAGATATGAACAGATTCTGATAGATAGATAGATAGATAGATATTAACAGATTAAGATAAATATGAACAGGTTCAGATAGATAGATAGATAGACAGACAGACAGACAGATAGATAGATAGATAGATAGATAGATAGATAGATAGATATTAACAGATTGAGATAGATATGAACAGGTTCAGATAGATAGATAGATAGATAGATAGATAGATAGATAGATAAGAAAAGAATTGTCTTCTTATGTTCAATACATGTTCCCAATATATTTATTATGTTTTTCTTCTATCTAGTCATATTTTCATTATGATTTCTTTGATTTTTGATTGAGCTGGAGGACTAATTCTGACTAATTATCATTGTGTTAATATATGTTCTTAGATGATTGTCTGCGTGAGTCTAACGAAATTTGCC